AGCAAAAGTTTTAGCAAATGTTCGTCTTCAGTTAGCGCATTGTCGACCTTTTTCTGGCTTTCCCTCTGAACTTTTGTCTTTCCCCCTCCGGAGTTGTGTGTGTCTGCGTTTATCTGTGTCCTTTTACTGAAATGTGTGTTCCCATTGATGGTATTCCTCGGTGAACACATTTGTCACAGATATCATCCAACAAATATCTATAAACGGTTAGTCAGAACAGCAATGATTATTCAATTGTTCATATCTTATCTTTTTTTTACAGTCAAATCTTTCTTCTTTCTTTCCAGCAAATGCTATCTAAACTTTTTTTTGCTGCACATATTTTAAAAAAAATTACTTAGACTATACTCTTATAAGGTTAATAAAAAGCTAACATTATTTATTCAGAAGAAAATTGTTCAAGCATAAAATTTAAAATAATTATTAAACAATAACTGCTCAACAACTGTGACATCAATAAATTGAGGATACATAGCAAATTAAAAAAAAAAATCAGCATAAAATTACATTTAAAATCTTATTTTTTTTTCTTATACTTTAGCGTAAAAATAAACTTTTCTTTTTTCTTTTTTTTGACTATTACTATCATTTATAAGGGAGAAAAAGAAAAAAATTATAAAAAAATATTTGATTGGTTGTGGAAGAAGAAGAAAAAAATTTTTGTTGATTTTATTCAGTTAATCAACGAAAAAAAAACTTATATGCAAATTCTATAAAGCTTTCAAGCAGTAATATTTTTATTTAATGAACATTTTTCCTCCTCCCCCCTCCTCCCTCCTCTTTTGCACCCAACTTAAATTAGGCATAAATTTTTAGCAAATTTTTTTTTTTTTTCTATTTTTCTTCTTCATATTTTATAGTTCAGTCTAGTCTGCTCCTGATCAAGTCTTCAGATTTATTAGGCAACAAAATTAATGTATTTAATGCTGAATTATATTTATTTATTATTCAATTTTCGCTATATTACACGTCTGTATTTGTGTGAAATCTGTCTGTCGGTATCCAATGTGATTT